ACAGAGATTTGCTCTTGTTGAGATTCTCCTTTCCTGCCTCTCAACTTTTTAAAGACACTTCAAAGAAGATCAAAAAGCTTGAAAGAAATGTAGCTGTTTAGTCTACAGAATAGAAGATAGATGGGAGGCTTGGTCTCATTCTTCAAATGCAAAAGTTGGTATGAGAATGGGACTAAGCTGTTCACCAGGTCTACTACAGACAGGAAGAAGCAAGGAACATTTAAGTTAGATATTTGGAAAAGTTTCAAGAGTCAAGGACTGAACAGGCTGCCTATGGAGGTTGTGGAATATCTATTAATGAAAGGTTTTAAAAACAGGTTAGGCAAACATCTGTCAGAAGTGACTAAGGTATAACAGATGACAATGAACTTGAGATCTTTTGCTCCTCTTCTGCTAAGGTCTTTTCATCACACTCAGTTTACAAAATCAGTAATACTTCCCTCTTTAATATCACTGCTTTTTATTTAATTTTAAAAACTGTAGTAAAGCCTACCCTTCTAATTGTGATATTTCCATATGTTCCAAATGTGACTATGTGGGAGAACAAAAAACATCAAAGATTTGTTAGCTTTGAAAGCAGGTTAAATAAACCACCTGTGAAGTAAAACACCAATATATTAATTTTACACTTACTCTGAAGAAACTGACCTCTAACCTCCTAGTGCAGACAGTACTATATTTTCTCGTCCTGCAAGAGACAAGAAAATTGTGGAAACTTTAACTGATGACTTCCTGATCTGTGGTCACCAAGCCTAGTCTGTAAACCATTTCCCAGTTTTTCATTATTTTTTTTTAAAGGAAAGGACTCTTTCCCAAACACATACACGCACACAAAATTATATATATGTGTGTATATAAAATCAAAGCTATGAAAGCAGAAGGTTGCTTTAAGAAATATTCAAATCTTTTTGAAACCATATTAAATTATGAGTAAGAATGGCTTCCACCACACTGGGGGGGGAAAAAGCCAGAGACTTCTTTTCTTCCTCCTACTGTTTAATACTAATGTAACCATGGAAATTATTTCCTCCCCCCCTACTGTTTAATACTAATGTAACCATGGAAATAAATACTAAACACTGATTTCCCTCTCACCCCCAGTATAACAGAAAATCTAACAAGGGAAATGCTTCTTGGTGAGAGTAATAAGAACCATACAGGTAACTGTTTAGAAGAATAATAAACAGGGGTTTCTGGGGGTCTCTTCTGGACTGACATCATATAATTCAGATCACTACAAGAAACAGGAGATAATATTTCCTTCACTCACATCCAGTGTTCCTAGCAGCTGCCCTGTATGCTGACCCCTCAGTTTTACCTCTGTTGTCTAGCATTTGACATTCTTTAGGCTTTAGGAAACACTCCCTTAGAAGAGACAAACATTAATACACTCATTCACATGGCAGCTGTGACATACAGCAAGCAAATAATAACCAGAAAAGTTCAAAAAACCACTATGGTAGATACCAGATTTGTCTTCCTATACACTTGATAAATCCTCCTTATGACAAGTGCTTTATCTTATTTTTATTATACAGTTATTTCCCCAGCATGCTTCCAGGGACTTGTAAAGTAGGTGGGATTTGTAGGTACACAAGAGCTTTATTTTTATTTTTACTCTTAGAGGTCTAAGATAAAACTTGTCACCTATTTTGTCTCAATACATTTTTTTTCTTGCCAATCCAAGATCCACTCTTCATTCTGATGCCATTGTTTGCTTTCTTGTCCTCCAGGATGTACAAGCTACCTCTGCTGCTTCTTAGGGCTTTTTCAGAAATTAACAGAGTTAACATGACATCCATGAAATTATTTATTCTTCTTTAAGGTTGGGGGGGGTACGTGTGTGTGAAGCTGAGAAACTGGTAGTTTTCTCATTTTATTCTACGGCTAATTCGTAAATTAACACATAGCAGCAACTTTAGAAACGGTCTGTTGATTCAGAAAGAAAACACACACATCACTACAGCCGATTATTGCCTTATGTTATCTCTTACTATCTTATAATACAGACCAACACAGCTCTATACTATAAAATGTGCTGTATAATAGAAGTATAGAAATACTCTGAGGCATTTTTACAATATTTCCAGAAACTGTTTTTAAAGCTTCATGCCAACTGAAATGAGTATTCTATATCTCAGTGTGTTACAGACTAATATAAAACCAAAGTTTTTTACTTTCTACTGTAGTCCTAATTTAAGAAACAACAACACTGTCATTGTGTCCACCCCCAAAGTCACAAACAACCAGGTCTCTATGGAGTTTATGTAAGAAAAACAAACAAAGGATTAATTTGGCAACACTGATTAAATTATTGTGATGATGTGCTACCTAAATTAGGAATTTGGTGCGTCAAGCATATAGCGTGACATTTTGGTGATGAACATCACAGATAAATACATATATTTCAATATTCTATAAATTAGGACTCTGTTCTTCAAAAATGTGATTCTACCAAGGTTATTAAGCAGGCAGCACTTTAGAAAAAACAGTAACAGGAAAAAGAAGGAATGCCATCAATATGCCTTGCATGACGGAGCATTACTCACGTGACATTTCGTAGTTTTCTTTTCCGGAAAACATAATATTGTGAAACTTTCAGGTCAGTAGAAAGTAAGGACTCTAGTGGACTAGAGTCCCTTCACTGATTTTCAGAAAGAATTTTAGGAAAACATCATGAATTGATTTAAAGAATTTTCCAGAGCACAAGAAGTCCTAGGGGATTGCTTGCTGCCATCATGGCATCCAATTAACTTTGTTGCTAATTCTCTTGGGTAAGATATATAATTGAAAAAACAATAATGTATTAACTGGAGTTTAGTCAAATATATTTTGGAGAATAACCATTACAGAAAACACCTAAGTCAGAAGGATGGAAAAATATCCATGGGTTGTTTGGCCTTCCTTTGGTAAAGGGGCCCTAGGTTAGCCTGCCATTGTCAAATTCATACTAAATTAGAGTTATAATGATGTCAAAGCAACTTCGTCATACCTTTCTGCATTAAACTTTTATTTTTCAGATTGTTTTCCCACTCAAATATGCTTCATCATCAGAAGCATCAACTCTTCAAGGCTCTAGGCAACTCAAGAGTCCTATTATTTCCAATCTAGTGGACTATTTTCAGATTTGCACAAATGTCCTTTTTTTAGCAAATATACTTTTCCATTTGATATCATTCTCTCCAGACAACATCTGCTGCTTTCAGTCTGGGAAATGGGAAATTGTTTCCTTTTCTATTTACATTTAATGGTGTGAAATAAACCTATAGCAATACACATAAAATATGCACAAGCTTCCTATTTGCAATTGGAGAAAGACATTCCAGAGCCCATATCTGCTGAGGATAGTTATAAGAATCATTTTGACTCTCTGCCTTCAACATCTTGCATTTTTATGATTCAGTGCTGCTAAAACATCAAAGCAACTACCAATATATTTCTTAAGATTCTTTAAAGTCAAAATTACCATAACAAGAATATATTGTTAGTTTGTGACAGGGTGAAGCTGTACTGACAAGCAAAGATCCTTGAGGCTAGCTAAAATAAAACCCCAAAAAAACAAGCAACCAACAAAAAAAAAAAAAAAAAAAAATCCCCCACTTTACCAACTGTTTGATATTATTTTTTCTTTCTGTTACTCATTTCTAAGGCCTTATCCCTTTTAATAATATGCAGTATTAAAAACTCAGCTTTAGAAATTTGCTTTTATTTCACAGATTTTTGGGCTTACTTTCCATCAAGTCTGCCAAATAAAGTATTATTATGTAAATATAACTGGAGAATAATATAATAAGTGAATGATAAGAGCATACAAGTATGGGATGCTATTTTTACTCACTATGGCCTTACTACAGATTTCATGTGAGTATCCTGAATTGCAAAACTATGTGAAAAGCAGTGACAGTTTTTTTGTTTTTTTTTTTTTTAAAAAAAATCTGAATTACAGAAATCGAACTGGAAATGCAAGGATTACTTAGTTTGCAGTATTAATTTCTTTATTTTGCCAGCTGCTAAACCCAGCACAAAACCATTTACCCATTAGCTCAAGGTATACAGTATTTCAGTAACACTGCCATATGCTGGCTAGCTGTGGGCTTGTAATATAACCTGACAAGCAACAAATCATAAGCTCATCCTTGTTATCATGTCCTTCCATCCCTGTACAGAATATGTGCTGTATATTAAGTCCTGCAAGTATGTCTACAAAGGATGGACCAAATACTTAGTTATACACTGTTTTTCACTCACTGAACTCTACACAAAAGCATAATGAATGTATATACCAATTACCAACACAGAGAAAACATCTACTTTTCAATTAGTAACAGCCGTTCCTACGCAAGGCTCAGCAGATACTCCATGCCTGTGCTTTCCACCCTACTACGGCATTTTCTTCCACAGCCCACAACTATGACGCTTCCAAACCGTCATTTCAGCTGACGAACTGAATAAAGAAACACGATGGAGTTCGGAACCGCTTCACGTGCCTGCTTCCTCCCCACAAAGTGCAGCATCTGTGTTTGCAATGCCACTCTATAGCTGCACTACACAGTGAGCCCCACGATTAAATCCCTTATACAAATTCAACAACAACGAGCATAACGTCGCTTCCTCTAACTCGATGCACTCATCCCGCCCCTCCGCTGCCGGAGAATTCCCCTCGGAGGGGCGGCAGCGGCCTCCCTACGACCACCACAGCAACACACAGCCCACAGGGAACACCCGCTCCAGCCTCCCCGCACTGCCCCGGCGACTTGATGCAAACTCCGCGGCCCTGCCTGGTGCCTGCTTCCCGCCTCCCCGCCCCACACAGCTCGGTCCGACCCAGCCGGGCCCGAGGGGGAGACCCGGGGCATCACACCGCCATGACACAACGCCCCAGCGGCAAGGAACTACCGAACTAAGGCACCCTCGGGCGCGCTGGGAGCGCGTTAATGGGCTAAAGCCACCCCGGGATGTTGGGACCCACCAGGCCCCGCCGCCCGCCGAAAAGCACTCACATGAACCGAACCGAACCTCCGCCGCCGCCACACACCTTCCGCCGCTGAGCGGGAAAGGACCCGCCGCTCCGGGCTACCCGAGCGAACGCCTGATCTCCGTGACAAGGAGCATCGGCAAACCTCGCGCCCCTCGGCAAGCATCGCTTTCATGGCCAAGGTGCTCAACACGCCGCTCGCAGAATCCTGGCACAGTGTGTGCACACGTACGCGCCCATGCATATAAATACACACAAACCGATATATACCTGTACACTGTACATTTATGCACACAGGGAAGAGGGGGAATAACGTTAAACTCTCTTTAAAAAAAAAAAAATAATAAAAAAAAAAAAGGCGCCCAAAAGAAAATATCTCAGGCACGCCGCAGGACGCCCATACGCGGGGGTCCTTCCTGTAGCCGGCGGGGTGGAGTGACGCCTCGGAGCGGTGAGGGCGGGCGGGGGTGTGGCGACTCGCTGTGGGGAGGGCGGGTGGGTGACGGGCGGCAGGGACGGCGGCGGTGTCGCAGGTACCGACGGCAGCACCGGCCCTGGCCTTCTTCTTCTTCTTTCTCCTTTTCTTCTTCTTCCCCCGCCGAGGGCAGCCCCCGGGTGGCGGAGAGGCCGGGGGTGCGGCGGGGGCGGGGCGAAGCTCCCGCAGGGCTGGTGGGGGCTCTGGGGAGCCGGCTCCCCGGCCTTAGCGCTTCCCCGCCTTTCCAGCAGTCGTGTAGCGGGCTGCTTAAAACTGCTTTCTGTCTTCCTAGTTTCAATTCCTGAACAGCCGTGTGTAACGTATGAACCGAACGGTAACAGACGCCGTCTGTATGCGTACAGGGACGCTGGTGTAGCAGAACGGGCAGGCAGGCTGTAACCAAAAGACGCTGATAAACAGGTAAAAGAAACAACAAGTTTATAAAATAGAAGGATGTAACTGGAAGTCTGTCCTGCTCTGTCAAAAACAGATTATATGTTTTCTTCGTGCTCTCCAAGAGTTGTGTTTTTTTTTTTTTCCCCGCTAGCTAAATGTTCTAGCTGCAGGTAGGAAACTCAATGTGTCTGTGAGTTTCACCAGCGTTTCTGTTTGGCTTTCAAAGCAGCAACATAGTAATCTGTGTAGTAACATTGTAAGTGCTCCGAACTACACCAGGAACTCTTCTTAGGTAAATACCTTCCTAGAATACAGAGGCTTTCATGTATGTACAACAAAATTCTCCGAATACTACTGGGATATAGCCTTTTTTAATCTTAACTGATGGTTTAGATTTCACTTGAGCAGAGTGATGCTTTAATATCCCTACAAGAGTAGGGAAAGGAATTACTCTTTAGCATTTTCATGAAATAACTTTTCAAATAGTTGTTAATTATCTGTACCCAAAAGCACCATGATACCTGCCTGGGTTTTTTCCCCCAGAATTTGGATATTCATTGAAGAGAAAATAGTGACATTGGATCCTTCTCAAAATCTGATTCACTTCTGCTTAACTCAAGTAACTACATTATAATGGCAATTTTGGCACATTTATTCTATCTATTGCTCAACTGGTGTAGCTGGAATCTGAAACAAAGTGTTTCTTTTATGCAGTGAATTTATTATGTTGAACAGAATAACGTGTTTTGTTTTTTTTTTTCCTTAAGTATGCCTAATGTGTGCATAACCTGTAATTATCTCCCCACTGATTTTACCAAAATAATAATTACTAGGGTTGCAAGAGGAATGTTTTAAGACTTAAGAAGAAAAGATATTTTGTGAAGAAATTTCTTCTTATGAAATGGCATAGTCTGTTGAAAATACTGTGATTTAATGAAAAACAGTGTAAGTGCAGGATATGGAGGCCACCTGCTCTCCTGAAATTATTCTCAATTGCTTTAAAAACAATTCAGTAGCAGTACTGATTATAATTATGTTTTCATTCTGAAAATCTGTGTTGATTAGGCAAGGGACATTTACACCTGGATATTCAGGAGGCATTTATATAACTAGCTGTTCAAAATTACTAACAGGTGTTAGTACATGGCTAATTGTCTTTATTTCTGCATGTGGATGCTTTTGGGGTGGGTGGGTGTGTCTGGCAAAGTTTTTAGTGTCCATGGACTCAATTGCCTTAGCACTGCTGTAGTGAAGAAGTTGTAAATGGTGGCTAGAAAATGTGAAATTCGGAAGAAAAAACTTGTTCTCTGAGAGCAGTATGTATTCAGAAGAACAAATAAGTTGCTCAGTAGATGAGGGGGGAACTTGAATTTTATTTCTTAGTATTGGGCATGGTAAAGCTATCAAGTGAAAGGCTATCAAAACAGTGCTGATCTCAGTATTAAGTAGAAATTCGTAAAGGTCTTTAGTTTGTGGTGGATTTGCTGAGAATGGTGTAAAGGTTTCTAAGGGAGCTTTGGATGGAGATTGTGGACTAGGGAAGGTTGTTCAGAGGCATGATGCAAAACAGGCCGCTGCTGGTCTTCTAATTTTTATGCCAGGCCGATTTCGCAGATGAGATAGACAGTCTCTTGTACACAGAATAAATGGTGCTTTGGAAACAATGACTCAGTAATTTTAGCTGACAGTAATAAGACAAGTCTTCACTTCTTCCATCTTCACTGTTTTGGATTATCAGAATTGAATTTCTAGAACTCAGTCCCAAAATTGTATTTGTTGTTTCTGGTGTCAGTTTAAAAAAGCAAACCTTTCTTTATCTCTTCCTCTTTTTATTTCAAAGCAATAGGGAAATTCTGCATGATATAATTTCTCCAAATCATAAAATTAATACAATAAGTGTCTTCTGTATAGAAAAGGTGAATCTGAGGTATAAAATCATGTGCCTTAAACATAAAAAGTTTATATTTATAGTTGTGTCAGACTTTGATGTAGATTAAAAAAATAAATAAATAAATAAACAAAACCCAGAAACAAACAAACCCCTGCAATTTAAAAATAATTAGATAAGATTTTTTCCTATATATTTTTAAAATATGTCTAACACCTGTTTGAATTTAGAGATATCAGTAAGCTACTGGAGAAATAACTAGACTGAAATAATTTAGTTTAAAAAACCACTTTCACTTAAGATATTATGTGTGACCCTTTTTCAAGGTGGTGAAAGGTTAGGTTTTTAGTTTTGGGGTTACTTGGCTGATTTCTAAAGTCAGTCCCTGGAATTTATGGAAGTTGAGAGTTAAGAACACAGATCAGAGTTTGATTGTGATGGTGGCTGTTTGACAGAACTAGGCCTTTTCCATCATCAGAGAGAATTTTCTTCACTGCTTTAGTGGAGTCCACAGAATTAATGCTATAATAAGAGAACTTGTTTTAATGCATACCTTTTAAAATTCTTTATTGATTCCTTTAGGTGGCTGACAGGGAAGACTTTTTATCTCATGTATTCCTTTCTGTCTGTGTGCTTCCTAGGCAAAGGAAGTGAATGATAAATCTGTAGTTGTGTAGTTGCAAACATTGCAGGTGTTCTAATTCGTCTTTGTAGGCCAAGTGATCTAGAGTACAAGAAAAGTTTCATCTCTTAAAATGGTAATTGTACTGATGATATTTAACAGTTCTTTTTATTAAAATTCCTTTTTAAGTGTCAGTTGAATGCAGATACGATGTACTGGAAAAGTATTAACTAGCAGATTATTTTTCTACAGTAAAAATGAAAACATTTCTTACCTGAGTAAATAAATTGTACGCTGTGTATTTAACTTTGCAGAGACATAATGCACTTCCCGATTTGGCCTAATTTTATTCTCCCTCCCCTCAGCTCTGTTGATATTAACTTTATTTTTAATTTTAGAGCAACTAGAGGACTGTTGTGCCAAGAAAGATTATAATTAATTCTTTCAATCAAGATTTCTTTTCTTCATGGTCAATACATATTTTCTTTCTGAAGCTGAGTAGTTCATTTGGCAGACATGATGTTTTTACAGAAACGTGTGTCCTATTATAAATACACAATTAAAGCTTTCCAACTGGAATTTGCTGCATGCCAATAAATCTTTGTCCTTACATTCAGTCCAATTTATGTCATTCCAATGGAATATTCTAACTCTAAATTGCATTGTTGTCATCCTGAAATAAATCACTTGCCCAAAATATTAAATATGAGATATGAAAGCACTGTATTTTTACAAATAAGACTTCTAGTACAAAAGTACTACTATAAAAACTCGATTTCTCAATGCTGTTTCAGTTTTTTCTTCCTTTATTAAGTTTGATTCTTTAATGCTATGCGTTTCTATTTAATATGATGATAGATAAATCTGAATTCTGTTATATATCTCGTGTGTTTTTTTAGGGAAAAAAAAAAAACAAAACAAAACACAAATAAGAGCAGTCTTTTATTTGATTTGTATCTTAAATGAGACTGTATTAGTTAACAGAGAAGGTACGTTGCATAATTTCCATTTGTGTAGACTTAGTAAATGTAAGTACTTAAGGATCTCTGTACAACCTGCTATGGGATCACTCTCTCAATTAAGATTCAAGAAAGAAACTTAGTCGGATTGTACTGGGAACAAGGTTGTTGGCTTAGAGAAAAAATAATTTTGAGGCACTGAAGTATTAAATGCTCTGTTTCTCCTGTGTGAGTTGCTCAGGAGATAATAGTTTTTCCTGAAACCAGCAGGCCAGTGTTGGTTGAAAGAATAATCAAAAAGTAGCCCTTAGGTTCATTAGTACTCTGCGTAATCTTGTTCTACTTGGGTTTTGTTTCATGAAGCCTCAAAAATGATAAAAAATTATCACATCTGGATTGAAAGAATTATGTTGGGCTTATACTTCAAGCTTTTTGTATTATTTCTCTTAAGGGCTTCAGATCCTGAGGGTTCCTCCTCTTTTCTTGGAGCAACTGCATATCTGTTTCTACTCTTCAGAGTCCATAATTACTGTTCTGTAGCTGATGAGAGTTGGAGGTGCTTTCGACATCAGTTGATTATTTTTCTTGAATGTATACACAGATGCCTTCAGACTCTGTGCCATAATGTCTCTGGAGTTGAAGTGTGCTGGACGGTATCCTTCTGCATAGGCTTGTTAATGAGTTCTTGTTGTTATGTAGACTGTGGTCCCATGCTATTCGAAAGTGCCATCTACTTCACCGTCACAACTTCCAGACCAGAATCCATTTAAGAGCAAAGAAGCTTGACCTTTTTATCTCTACTTATATATGTATCGTTATACATAAGCATGTATGTGCTATGGAAGCTAAGATGTACCATTGGATAATACTGTCTAAAGACAACTTGTAGTGTTTTGAGGCCCAGTCTGGGCAATCCAGAAATGAGCTGAGCAGGGGTTGGATTCAGATTTGGGGTTTTGGTACTTGTCTCAGGTTAAATTCTTAGTTTGCCAGTAAAAAGAGGTCAGGCAGTTTTATGAGGCCTAGCTAACTGTAGAAGTGTCTGTTACTTGTGCATTGTTTAGATTTTCCTAATCTTGAGTGGCATAGTAGTTGGCTATGGAAAAGTGCAGAGAAAATGTTTAGCTTGCAGTGAGTTGTAATGCGTAGTTCACAGGAGAGAGCTTGTTCCTCCTGGAGAGAAAAATGGTTGTGAAACTAAGTACACCTGGAACTAAATTGCAAGCCAACTTATTTTGCTTCGCTTGTCTCAGAGAAATATTTAAGGAAAAATTGAGATTGCTTCCATAATTTATTATCAAGTTAGTGTGTGAGCTAGCAGTTTACCTATGGGTAGGGAAAGAAATGGTGGTAGGACAGAAGACTGTTACTTCATAGCTTTAAATATTAGGAATGCTGTAGTATATAGATGCTACATTATCACTAAAACTGTAGTAATCTAGATTTGTGGCCTGCTGATGGTATTTTAGAAGATTATTTTTCTGTTTGGTGCCTTTCCTGGTTTCTTAATAAATAACCTACTATAATGCAGTAGTCATCTGAAGATTGTTTGCATTAAAGCATTTATCTGCTCCTAGAAATATCTTTATTTGATTCTTAAATCTGTGTTTAAAACTATGACTACATTTTTATATGTAGTGTTTATGATGCAGCAGCACTGTATTATTGTTGCTGTGTTTATTATGCAAAATGTCCCATTCCTCCATAACAGAGAGAAAAAAAAAATTTAATTGCATTATTTAGTAAACAACTAGTAGGCTGAGTCACAAGGATCTGTATACTTTGTGGATAAATTTTTACTCTGTGTTTTCTTTTTAAGGAACAGAAATTGCTCTGAAGGGCTTAAGATTGAGCAAAGAAGATGTTTCCTTTAAAAGACACTGAGATGGGTGCCTCCACCTTCTTTGCTTCAGCTCTGCCACATGATGTTTGTGGAAGTAATGGACTTCCTCTGACACCTAACTCCATCAAAATTTTGGGGAGATTTCAAATCCTTAAAACGATCACCCATCCCCGGCTTTGCCAATATGTTGACATTACCAGAGGTAAACATGGTGAGTATCTATTTCATGAGGAATTTTTATGTATGGGTGCAGTTGTTTTTTTGTGACAATATGGCTCAAGGTGACTGAGCAGACTGCTGCCTTTATAGCACCAGAAAGTGCCTGATTTTCAGTCTCAGAGTGACTTTATGCCTTTGCTGTGACTGGTAGTACTGGTGCTTTTGTTTTTTCTCTTTGGAGTTGAGGCAGATGTTAGTTGTCTGTCCTCTTGTTATATTCTATGCTAACTGATAAAAGAGAAGAACTTTGTGCTTTTTATGCTTGTAAAACTCTTGTACTCAATTGCTGTGCCATGTCTTTGTGGGGGACATTGGAATACATGTACTTTTGATGCTGAGCTCCTACACTAATATTCTAATCCTGTGAACATTTTCATGTGATGGTTAGGCTTCTTGTGCTTGGTTTGCAGCTGTTCTTGTTCTCTGTCTTGTGTCTTGGCTTCAAGCTTCCCTTATTATTTTTTTTTTTTTACTTCTAGCTCTTTAAGATCTCTCCCACTAACAATTCATTTATCACAGTACAGATTCGTTTTTTTTAGTAACTGTTATCACATATTGTTAGCTCAGATAAGGCTTTTGTGTTTTGTTTGGTTTTTTTTTTGATCCAGATGATCTTACTCTGTTGCAAGCTCAGCAGGATTGCAGAACTTAATTTCCACAAAAAGGCTGCAACACCTGTGACAATTTAAGTGGTTGCCACCTTTAACTTTTAAATCAACAATGTTCCCATATAAAAGTGCATTGTATGTTTTTGTTTGATTAGCTATAGGGTCTCAAAGAAGAGCAAGTAATTTTTTCCCCTTTAGAATGCAATATGATAGAATGCTTCAGATTTTAAGAAAATGAGGATATTGCAAACTACAAACACTAAAGTATTCTGCAGGTTGTGGGTTCTTTGTGTGTTTTCATTTGGTCTCAAACTTGTAAATTTTTAATTTCTGAAGTCAGGAGATCTAGAAAGTTTATTCATTTTCATCTTTTTACTAGTATCTCTTGAAACAGTAACTAGGGTTTTCTTACAGTAGTGTTAGGGTTGAAAGGTTAAGAAACATCAGCTAACATAGCATTTAGTAAATAAAATGGTTAAACAGGGAAATGTGGCCTTTTTGACAGTAGTCTGTGACGTGAAGGTTTATGAGTATGCATAAATATGAAGGAGAAAATATCTTATTATAATTTAAGTAACTTGAAGGATAGCAAATAAAATGTCTAACCATGAAGTCAGGAGAATGTTCTGTTCCTGGTGATCAGAATAGCAGTTAATCACTTCCAAATAATACTGCCAGTTTGGTGGTAAATTTTATCATTCTGATACTGACAGAATTTTTCACTTGTCAATCCTAAGCATAGTGATTTAATGTTATTTTTCTTGGAAATGTCACTTTCTACTCTTAAATAATAGAGGTCTAGGGAAGCAGTATTAAAAAAAATAATTAGATGTGTGCTTTCCCCTCAAAAGGGGAATAAAGAAGTAACAGAAAAACATTCAAACTGAATTTAGTTTTGGTTTGGGTTTTTTTTTGGCAAAATTTAACTACTTGTAAAACTTTGCTACCATTGTAGAAGGCAATCCCAGAATTTTTTCTTCCAAAGAAAGCTTACATGGTTCTTTGATTTCAAAAAGGAGAAACATAAAGTTGGGTAACAAGCATTCTAGCTTTAATGTGATGACCTGTTTTCCTTGAAGTAAGATAAAGATGGAAAATACTGAAACAGCTGTCTTCTAAAAACATGTTTGAAATAATTTAGTTAGATTTGGTTTTGAATGTGAACATTCACTACTAGCTGTTTCATGAATAATGGATGTAGCAAAGCCTAGCTTCGAGTTACCTCATTCCCCCATGTAACATCTTACACCTTTGTCTTTTCCTACTTGATAACTGCTGTCTTCATTGCAACAATTGTTTTGTCTTTTCTGCTCTGTTCAGAGCCAGCCCATCGATCTCCAGAACATGTGGGACCCCTGGAAGTCCTATAGCTATTTGTAGGGCAAGACATATTGGAGCTAGTAATGTGCTAGTTGGCCCATCAGGACTGAAACGCCTGTGCTCACTCTTGAGTCCCTTTTCTCAAAGCTGGTGTTACTGGTAGTGTCTCTCTCATCAATCCAGCCACAGATTTCTGTAGCTTTGTAGATGCTTGTCTTTGAGATCTCTATTCTTAAGTCAAATTTGACTGACATTGTCTGAGGGCTTCAACATTTATTAGGAGGTTACTGGATGGATGGTTTGACAGTGCTTTCCATGAGGAAACAGGAAAGATATTCTGCTCTGTCTCATAAATGAAATATCCAGAAGTTGTACACTTTTAACAATTATGTGTAGTTGTCCATATAGTGTATGTCAAAATACTTTAACATTTGTCAAGTTGGTAGACTGAGATGTCTGTACCTCCATTGTTTTAGTGGGATTCTAGTTGTCTTATCCTTTTTTTTCTATTAGAGAGACTGGTTGTGGCGGCTGAACACTGTGAACAGAGTCTGGAAGATTTGCTACGAGAAAGAAAGCCAGTCAGGTATGGTGTCAAGCTAAACTCAGATCCACTCACCATAATTTCACATATCATCTGTGGCAGTGTCCCAGACCTTTTTTAACTTCTATTGGTTTATATAAATTTTATTCTGTTAAAATTTAACCTGAAGGCATTGTTTATCAGATAAAACACGTGCCTGAAAGTGAGACTGCTTATTTCTGTATGATTCTAAAAGGTAGAATAATTATGGGGAAATTGCTTACGGCTGAAATACCCTGTAACTCATAAAATAGTGTCTGTTTTGTAATAGTAGTTTGGGATTTTCTTTTTAAAAATAAAATCAGACCAATGACAGGTAAGTATCATCTTAAGAATTAATTTGAAGATTGTATGTCTGCCAGATGATGAAATACAAGTTTCACTAGAAATAACAGAATTTGGTGTGTGTTTTTTCATATGCATAAATGTATTACTTGATTAACTAGACAGTGGACAGGATGTGAGATACATATGCCAGGGTTCTAATAAGTGATTTGAATTGGAGTTAATATAGTCACTTCAGCAAGGCTTTGGTCAAAACCAAGTCCAAAGGTTGGATATCAAGAATATTTGCTTTCGTACTAGGATATATAAAATAGTTGAACTGTATCTTTAAAGCAGCAGACAAATAAACAAAATCCCCATCAGACTTGTTGCTAAAAGTGTTAACTGTAATTTTAAAGTCTATCACCATTACCTTTGGAGCAAAAGAGTGGTCTTTTTTCCTAAAGAGTATGTAACATAGAAAATGTGAAGAATGGACGAGAGAAACGCTATTTCCATTTGGGATAGAAAGGCATTGTAATCTAACTGATTATTTCCAGAACACACAAATATATAAAACACATTTAGAGAAATCCAAAGTCTCTTCATTCTAGTTTCTGAAAAATATATAGCAAGCATCAGATTTAATCTCTTTTGATATTCATGCAAGCATAGAGATGATGATTACTCAGTGAAATAATCAACAAATTTTTGTGTGTTTACCCGGTTAACATGAGGCGTCTCAAGTGGCCTGTGTTTGGTAAGATACTATCCAGATAAACTGCCTGTGACTCGTCCCAATTTAGATTTCTATAAAGGAAATAATACTGGATCTTGTAGCCTTTTGAGCCTCACAACCCCTAAGTAGGATGCTAACAGTGTTGTCTGGCAGAGATAAATCTAAACACAAAATGCCCTGTGCCTGTATGTTAGCTTTTTGTGAACTTAAGCTTGTATGACAGTGTGTGTTGCAGAGGACTTAACAGCTTGAGGAATGTTAGGCAAATATGGCTTCCATTTTTTCTTATGATAGAAAGGCATTTAGGTGTAAGGGGCTTTTCATGTGTGATGTAAATTACAGCCCTTCACACAGTTTTGCATCAGGTTCTTGTTCTGCAAAGTTCCAGAAATAGTTAAAGCATTAGAAACTTTTTTTTCCTTTTTCATTTACTTCTCATACTGTTCTTTGAACGTGTGTATTTTGGTGTCAGATGAGAAGCAGCCCAGACAGTCTGCTGCCTATTGACTGTTTCTGTAGCTATTTTAATTTGCTTTGAACTGCTTGATAAAGTATACTTATGTAGATTGTCTGGCAACTCCTTTTGCAGTTTATTCCTGCAGCCTTAGAATTGCAAGGGGCAAGATGTCCTTTCTTGAGTGGAAAAAATAAAAAATAAAATCTCTACCATAATTCTTTAAACAAAACTTTCTCAAATAACAGCTATGCATCTGTTATGCCCCTCTATACTAGCATGTGTTTTGTGGCACCCAGAAAGATTTTTGAGACCTTTTTAGATATTTTGATACGGTATGGAACTTTGTTATTTTGACATGCTGAGAGAAGTTACTTAGTTTGTGACAGTTACCTCAGCTATTTGGACTGTGGTTCTATTGAGAGAGTAGCTGCATAAAGGCTGGCTTTATTTTTTACCTCTTGTCTTGAGAGAGTTTTTACTGAAATAAGTTACTCTGGTATCTGTTCTTTCTCTTAATGAGCCAATTGGCATTTCTTCAGGAAGTTGTAACATCTGAGGTATAGGGCTATATATGTATGTTGATAGCTTTAGGACATGTTAATGATTGGTCTACTGTAAATTACAGCTTTTGCAATAGTAACTAAAACATAAATTATGTTGACTTCAAATTAAGTTTCTTGCAAGTTTGATGTTTTCCTTCCACTTTTTTTTTTTTTTTTTTTTTTTAATGAAAACTGACATTTTTGGTTCTTATGTGAGACCCGTAAATTTCCAGAGATAACTTGGGTGGAGCAATTAGTTATTGGTTATGTGATCTGTCGATATCAATTACCTTTGGAGAGTAGTCTTTGGCTTTTTCCATGTATTCTGATAGTATTGGTCAATGACAGCATAGCTGGTTATGCATCCAGAGTTCATGTGTATGCTATTGAAATTAATCCTATAAACTGTTTATGGAAGGCGAGAAGCTGCTCTTCTGGTTTCTAGATTAATTTTCCTTGCGCTTGCCAGTAACCTAAGTCCTTTGCACCTTTACCACAAGCTGATGTAAAATCAGCAGGAAATATTCTATTTTGTTAGTGCTGAAATTCAAGACATTACATTATGGACTATCTGTCTTTCCATACATACTGGAAAACAGGCCATACAGCTGTTTGGTAGTTATTTGCAGTTAATCTTTCCTGAAGTCATGCATCAAGTGTAGCATACATTCCTTAATATATGAATTATATTTAAAAAAATAAATGCAACAGAGTTCTTTGTTCAATTAACCTCAGAGTTTCACCAGGTTTTCTAATCCTAATGAATCAGTTGCACATGGAGACTGAATACTGGAAATCAGAGCTCTAATGGTTTACCTTATCCACTCTGCCACAGTGAAGTAAGTCATTTTACTGAGCCTACCACCAAACCTTTTCTAGAACTCAGATTTGTGATATATTCAAGAATTCATTCATTACCTAACGACACTGTGACAGCAGTCTCCAGGAATTACAACGATGGTTTGTCATTATCCTCAAAGGTGATGTGCTCAATTTCACTTTAGAAGTGCAAGTGAGTGTTTGGTAATTTATAGCCAGATTATTTTCTTTCTTGGGGGATGCATATCTGGAATCCTAGAAGGAGCATTTGGTGCTGTTAGGACTCTATTAGGTAAATTTTAGGCACTCTTAAATGCATGAAATGAGTCAGTGCTTTGCAATTCTTAGCATAAGTAACCAGAGGCAGAAAAGGAAATAAATACATCTCTTTAGTGTTTTATGTATTTTATTCGGGGGATAGCCATGTTGACATCATAACTACAATTAATGCTTCTAAAAGTGGCATTAATTCCAATTCTCTTTACTGTGCTTCCACAGGGCATCACAGTAACAGCAGGTTTGCTCTACTGGAGTTGTGTCCCACAGGGAATGCAGGCTGCAACCATGGATAAGAGTTTTAGGATAGGGTTGGATAAGAATTTTAGGCACTGGTGTCCCATTTTTTACCAGATAAGGCTCCATTGTCCTCTGTGTGAGAGATTGTAGTTTGGGTCTTTGTTTCCTGCTTTGTTTATTCTGTATTTATTGTACTTTTTGTTGTTACTCTGAGTCAGAGAAAGTGTGCACTGAATTCTGGTTTATAACAGTCACTTAGTGCAAAATCAGCTTTCTCAAGTATGTTTGGGAGTCAGTTTAATTTTTAAATAGCTAGGAATTTATGGGCCTAGTCAACCAAAAATAGTAAATACCTGATTTAAGCTCATAATAATTGACTGCTGTTCAGAGATTTGAAAATGTGTCTTGGTCTGGTTGACTTCCTCTGTGTCTTCTTGCTCATGCAAGGATTTTTTCTTGTGAATGAACTGAAAATAAGTCACTAAAAATTTTGGTGGGTAGAAGTTTTGTACTTAAACAGTGTCACTAAGGGTAGTTTTCATGTTTCTGACAGTCAGAATTTTACTAGGATTTTCAACATTTGCCAGTTAATTTAGCACTGACAATACCACAGCCCAAAATGTAAGATGTGCATTTATTTTTAAGGCTCTCCATCTTTTAAACACATTTACAACTACTCCTTTGGGATACCTTTTCCAGACAGTGTTAAAGGAGTTTTCTCTGCTCCCATGCTGTTACAATAGGAGTTGTGGGCTTTTCCTTTTCTGTCATGTTTGAAGTGTGTTTCTTCAAAGAAGTTGGTCTGGACTTGTATTCATAACAATAAAAATACCAGCAAATATTGACATTCATCAGACTTTTGGCACCTAAAAGAGTTTCTGGATTAGTCTTCAGTTTGTGGCTTGGGCAGTCTAAGCCTATTCATTTCTTCAATAAAATATAGTTGTCATATGTTTTGAAAGTCATGGTTTTGAAAAATTACTAGTGAACCATCAGAGATACAAGGTATAGTTTGTTATACACGGAGCATTTGATGGGAAGCAGACTGTGTCTGCAGCTGTTTACTAGTTTGGAGAAAACATGATCTGACTGATTCGGATGAGTACATTTTATTTGGCGATATTAAACAGTTGTCTGCTCATTGATTGGATTAGTTTTCTTTATGCCATCCTTGCTGTTAATGTGCTTTTGGCAAACTTGAAGTGAAACTATGTTACAGAAGAGATAATTAGATGGGGGGAAAAGCAATTTCTGAGTAGCCAGGGATTCTTCAAAAATATTGGAGGACAGGTGCAAGTCATCAAAAGACTGAAGGTTGTACATGATTTGACTTGAAGAGCTGCATATGAGCAGAACTTCAAGGGCTGAGTGTTTTCTGCTTTGAATCAAGTCTGTGTTGGAATTTCATATGAGAAATCCATATGTCATAATGAGGCTGCATTTAGCAAGGAGAAATGATGAAGTAGTAAATTGAAGTAGCATTAATAAACAAACTTGAAATTACTTTTCTCTTCAGCATGTGCGAGAGTCTATAGTTTCGGCATTTTATGTTTGTAGAGTTTTCCTTTAATTTCTTGCCAAAGCTTTACTTCCAAAGGTATGATGAAAGATTAGCCATTAGTCCCAACTTGTTTGTATATTGTCCAATGATGCCTTTCTTCCTATA